GCCCGCTCGCGGCGTGTCCTCCAGGGTGGGGGACCTTGGGAGCCATCTCCGCCTGCCTCGCCCCCAGATTGGGATCCTGAAGCCACACCCGGCCTTCATCGAGCTGCTGGCGACGGCCGCAGAGCACACGCTGACCTTCGAGGCGGCCGAGGTGCCCATGCTGTGCCCGCCGCTGCCCTGGACATCACCACACACGGGTGCTTTCCTGCTGAGCCCCACCAAGCTCATGCGCTCGCTGGAGGGCACCGTGCAGCACCAGCGCCTGCTGGACAGCTGCCCGCCCGCCGACCTGCACGGTGCCCTGGATGCCCTCACCCAGCTGGGCAACTGCGCCTGGCGGGTCAACGGGCGCGTGCTGGACCTGGTGCTGGAGCTCTTCGCCGCCAAGGGCTGCCCGCGTCTGGGGGTGCCGGCCCCGGCCTCCGAGGCACCCCGGCCGCCCGAGGGCCGCCTGCCGCCCGGCGCCTCACCTGCCCAGAAGGCCGAGGTGCGGCGGGAGCTGGCCCGCTGCCTGAAGGTGGCCCGGGAGATGCACAGCCTGCGCTCGGACGCCCTGTACCGGCTGTCGCTGGCCCAGCACCTCCGGCACCGCGTCTTCTGGTTGCCACACAACATGGACTTCCGCGGCCGCACCTACCCCTGCCCGCCCCACTTCCACCACCTGGGCAGCGACCTGGCGCGTGCCCTGCTGGAGTTTGCCCAGGGCCGTCCGCTCGGCGCCCGCGGCCTGGACTGGCTCAAGGTCCACCTGGTCAACCTCACGGGGCTCAAGAAGCGCGAGTCGCTGCGGGCACGCCTGGCCTTCGCTGATGAGGTGATGGAGGACATCCTGGACTCTGCTGACCAGCCCATGACGGTAGGGGCGTGGAGGGCGCTGGCTGGGGCCCTTGCTCCTTGCCTCTCCTTCTCCCTCGGCCTGTGCCGTGCGCTGGTGACCCTGGCCCCTCCTTCCTAGCCCCCTGGGCACGGGCTCCTGGCTCCGTCCTTTCTGTTCTCTTCCCTCTGTGGCTCTGCCACCTCCCGGCCCGGGCCAGCCCTTTTTCCAGACCTTTCCCTGTCCCATGGCTGCTAGTGCAGGAGTGCTCTGGTGTCGCCCTGCGTGCCTGTCACTCCTGTCGCTCCTGCTGTCCCGGGGGCTCCATTTCGGCCTCCCAGCCCCAGCCAGCCTGGCCTGAGCCCCACTCCGCCTTCCCGCAGGGCCGCAAGTGGTGGATGGACGTGGATGAGCCCTGGCAAGCCCTGGCGTGCTGCATGGAGATCGCGCGGGCTGTGCGCTCTCCTGACCCAGCTGCCTACGTCTCTCACTTCCCGGTTCACCAGGTGAGCTGCTGGGGGCCCCAGCGTGGGTTGGGCCTGGCCCCGGGGGGCTGGGCTGGATGGTGGGGGCACGTAGTCTCCGCAGACCCCACTTTAGTTGGGCTGGTGTCCCTGCGTGGGGGCCCCAGTGGGTGCGGCCAGCCCAGTGGTGGGACCCTGTACGGGCACGTTGCCCTGCCTGTCCGCAGTGGGGTCTCGCGCACTGGCGGTATGAGCAGTGCACCGGGGAACCCCGGAGCTGTGATTCCTTTCCTGGGGTCACTCCTGCCAACCCTCACGGATCCCTCACTCTCCGTTGGCCCAGGATGGCTCCTGTAACGGCCTACAGCACTACGCCGCCCTGGGCCGGGACAGCGTGGGGGCCGCCTCTGTCAACCTGCTGCCTTCGGATGTACCGCAGGATGTGTACAGTGGGGTGGCTGCACAGGTGGGCCCCACAGCCCCGCCGCCCCCCATTCTCCTCCTCCGAGCCCACGTGGGGTCTCTGTCCTGTGAATGCCCGGATTTGCAGATCCCGTGGGCTCTGAGTGGGCAGTCAGGGTGGGCTTCCCGGGGGAGGTGTCAGATGAGGAAACGGGGGGGGCCTCGTGGTGGGGCTGCCGGTCGGGGTGGGAGACACGGTCTGCGCACCCTCCCACCGACCCCCAGTGTCCGCCCAGGTGGAGGCGTTCCGTAAGCAGGACGCCAGACGGGGCGTGCGCGTGGCCCAAGTGCTTGAGGGTTTCATCAGCCGCAAGGTGGTCAAGCAGACGGTGATGACCGTGGTGTACGGGGTCACCCGCTACGGGGGCCGCCTGCAGATCGAGAGGCGCCTGCGGGAGCTCAGCGACTTCCCCCAGGTGCACAGCGTCCGGCGCACCGTGGGGGAGGGATGGCCCCCAGCCCCCGCCCCTCCCCCTGAACCGCCGGCTGCCAAGCAGCCCCAAGGAGGAAGACGGTTCTGTTGCCCCTCCAGGTCCCTCGGCGAGGGTGGGGAGGCTGCCCTGGCTCTGACCGCCCCTATACCCCTGCAGGAGTTCGTGTGGGAGGCCTCACACTACCTGGTGCGCCAGGTGTTCAACAGCCTGCAGGAGATGTTCTCAGGCACCCGGGCCATCCAGGTGTGTGGCCCCGGCCCCTCCCCGTGCCCAGCAGGCCGCCCCTGGCTGGGTCCTGCTCTGAGCTCCTTCCGCCCTGCGTCCACAGCACTGGCTGACCGAGAGCGCCCGGCTCATTGCCCACACGGGCTCGGCCGTGGAGTGGGTCACACCCCTGGGCATCCCCATCATCCAGCCCTACCACCAGGACGCCAAGGTGTTGGTACGTGCGTCCCCTCCCCAGCCCCCACGCTGCATCAGGGTGGACTCCTGACTCTCCCCACCCCAACCCTGCAGATTGCCGGCGGCATGCAGAGCCTCACGTTCAGCCAGAGCGGGGACACCAGCCAGTGAGTGCCGGCGGGGGTGCTGGGCCGGGTGGGGGCCGTGGGGGCCAGGCCAGGGGTGCCTGAGCCCTTTCCCCTCCCCAGGAAGCCTAACACACTGAAGCAGAAGAACGGCTTCCCCCCCAACTTCATCCACTCGCTGGACTCTTCCCACATGATGCTCACGGCCCTGCACTGCTACAGGTGGGCCCTGCGTCGGGGCCGCGTGCCTTCCACCCCGCTCTGCTCGTCGTCTTGCGTGCAGGCCCTGTTCAGGGCTTTGGGGATGCAGGGGGCGCCCAGAGTGGCAAAGGCAGGTTGGGGGGCCAGGGTGGAGGCCTACAGCAGGTGAGGACCGTGGGGGTTGTTGGAGCTGCTGCCCAGAAAAGGACTATGCGAGCACGTGCAAAGGCCCTGAGGCAGCGTGGTGTGTGTGATGGTGAAGCCGCTGGCTGGGCCCAGGAGGGAAGGGTGGTTGCTCTGAGAAGTGCCTGCGGTCCCGTCCGGGGGGTCCTGGCAGCATAGCGTGTGGGGGGGTGGCCTCATAGGCTGAGGCATAGGCGTCTGGGTATGTCCTGAGCCCCTCAGGTGTAGCCAAGCATGGCCATAGGGCAGGTGTGTGGCTAGTTCTCTTAGAAAGGAGCCAGGGTTCGGGGGTAAGTTCTGTTTCTGTCTGTCCCCTCTCGGACCACAGGAGCCCTGTAGTGGGGGGGGGGAGGGGACAGTATCAGCTGCAGCGGCTAGGGACGGGTGGAGGGAATGACACGGGACCAAGAGTTTTCTCCCTAGAGGAGGACTTTCCGCCCCTGTGCCGAGCACGGCGCACGCACAGGGGCTGGGACACATCGGCAGCGGGGGGTTGGGGTGAGGATGGGAAGGAGCAGGATGGGGAGTGGACCAGGAAGGGCCGCACTCCTCACAGGAGATCCTTACTCCTCGGCAGGAAAGGCCTGACCTTTGTGTCTGTGCATGACTGCTTCTGGACCCACGCGGCTGATGTGGAGGTCATGAACCAGGTGCAGCTGCCCACCTCGCGACCACATGCGTTCCCCAAGGTGGCAGCAGGCACCCCTGATCCCATGGCCCTTGTCTTGTGGCACCTGCCTCTGTCCGCCAAGGCAGTGATCAGCTGAGTGTTGGGCAGCCCTGCCTCACCTGGTCGGGGAGCCCTGCCCTGCTGCCCCCTCAACCCCTGCAGGTCTTAGGTCTCCCCGCTCCCCAGGCCCTAGCTCTCCCCAGCAGCCGGGTCTTAGGTCTCCCCTCCCCCCAGGTGTGCCGGGAGCAGTTCGTCAGTCTGCACAGCCAGCCCATCTTGCACAACCTATCCAGGTTCCTGGTGAAGCGGTACTGTTCCAGCCCCAGGTGAACTACCCCCTCCCAAGACCCGGGCTGGGACCACCCCTCTCTGCCCTGCTCGGCCTCACCCGCCCCCCCACCCTCAGGCTCAGGTCCCCCAAGCACTCCAAGAACCTGTGGATGGGCAAGCTGCAGGACACGCTGAAGTCCGTGCCGAAGACAGGTGGGGCGGGGACCGCCTGCGTGCGCGCTGGGCGCTGGGCGTGGGGTACCCCCGCGGCCCGCCCCACGGTGTCCGCTCTGCTCGCAGGGGCCTTGGACCTGGAGCAGGTGAAGCGCTCCACTTACTTCTTCAGCTGACGTGGTGGTCCCCAGGCGAGGTCCCCAGCTGCTGTCCCCAGCCAGGCGCCACGCGGGCTGCCCGCCCCGTACCATAGTGTAAATAAAACCCTGTTGTC